CAAGATTCCCCTGCCTCAGCCTCCTGAGTGCTGGGATTCCAGGCATGCACCATCACAGCTCGTTTCCCATGTTTTTTTCAGCACTATTCACAATAGTTAAGATATGGATTCAACCAACATGTCTGTCAATGAATGAGTAGACAAGGAAAATGTCCTATACAGTGAAATATTACTCAGCCATAAAAAGAAGGAAATCCTCATTTGTAGCAACATATTTATTTACAAACAGCTTAGTAAGTAAAATAAGTCAGGCACAGAAAGACTAATATCACATGTTCTTACATTTGTGGAAACTAAAAAGTCAATCACATAGAAGAGTGGACTAAGAGACTGGGAAGGGCATAGGGGAGAGGGAATGGAAAGAAGTTAGGCATGAGACACCATAGCACAGCTGGAGAAGGAATTAGTTCTAGCTTTCTAACGTACAATAAAGTAACTACTGGTGAAAACAATCTATGAGGCTGAGATTAGGAGGGTCACAGTTCGAGGCCAGCCAGGGCAAATATTTCAAGAGACCCCATATTCAAATAATCTAGGGCAAAATGGACTGGAGGCGTGGCTCAAGCAGTAGAGCACCTGCTTGGCAAGCACAAAGCCCCAAGTTCAAACCCCAGTCCCATAAAAAATATTAACAACCTGTGAAAACTGGGCATGATGGTGCAGGCCTGTGATCTCAGCACTTAGGAGGTTGAGGTAGAAGGATCTGGAGTTCAAGGCCAGCCTGGGCTACATGGGAAGACCCTGTCTCAAACACACACACACACACACACACACACACACACATGACAGGTGCCAGTGGCTCACACCTATAATCCTAGTTACTCAGGAGGGGAGGATCACAGTTTGAAGCTAGCCAGGGCAAATAGTTCATGAGACCCTATCTCAAGAAAAAAGCCTCACAAAAATAGGGCTGGTGGAGTGGCTACGGTGTAGGCCCTGAATTCAAGCCCCAGTACTGAAACACACACACACACACACACACACACACACACACACACAAAGATATACTTTAAAATAGCTAGAAGGATATGAAATTCTCAGCACATAAAAACGATTAATGTTTGAAGAGATGGCCATGCTTATTACCCTAATTTGATTATACATTGCATACACGAACTGACTTACTATAATGTATCTCATAAAGATAAACAAGTTATGACTCAATTAAAAAAAACAATTATCAAAAATCTTACCTGAGTTGGACATGGTGACACACACCTGTAATCCCAGCACTCATGATGGCCAGCAGGATCTCAACAGAATGGGCAGCCTGGACAACATAGTGAGACTGTGTCCAAAAAGCAAACAAATAAAAAAATTTATCTGAGCAATTTCCTGCCCCCAAACTTTTTTTTAATCCCATTAGCCTCAGACAAAGCCTCAATTCTGAGGAGTTTTTGTTTTATTTTGTGGTGCTAGGGATTGAAGCCAGGGCCTTGATAGCTAGGCAAGCACTCTATCACTGAGCTACACCTCAAGCCTTACAAAGTTTTAATTCCTTAGTGTAACACTACTGCTTCTGCACATGTTAGTCCCAAACATCTTGTGCATTTTATACCTTGTTCCCATAGCTTGTGTTTTTTTGATTTTGGGTACCGGGGTTTGAACTCAGGGCTGCCTACTTCTTTAGGCAGGCGCTCTACCACTTGAGCCCCTCTGCCAATCCTTTTTTTGTGTGTGTTGGATATTTTCAAGATAGGGCCTCGAAAACTATTTGCCCAGGCTGGCTTCAAATCTTTATCCTCCTGATCTCTGCTTCCTGAGTAGCTAGGATTATAGACGGGAGCCACCAGCACCTGGTTTATTCCCATCTTTTCTCTTGTCCCATTCCAAGCCCTTTGCTCCAGCCAACCTGGTTTAACCAGCACCTAAAACACCTGACACATGTGGCACTTTGGTGCCTCCAGCCATTCCATATAGTTGGGCAATTTATACAACCCACCATGGGGACCTTAGATGGAAGACTAAGAGGAGAGCAAATCTAGGCTATATTCTGCAAGACACAGTGGTGTGGAACTATATCATGAGCTGAACTGGGAAGAAGTGTTCCTTTCGTGTGATTAGTCTGTCCAAAAGTGTGCCTTTTTGTATACATGTACAAAAGCAATCCCTGCATTTCCTTCAAACCAGCCTTCTTGCTGTTAATGACTTTTTTTTTTTTTTCAGTACTGGGGTTTGAACTCAGGGCCTACACCTTGAGCCACTCCACCTGCCCTTTTTTGTGATGAGTTTTTTCAAGACAGGGTCTCAGGAGCTATTTCGAACTGTGATCCTCCTGATCTCTGCCTCCTGAGTAGCTAGGATTACAAACGTGAGCCACTGCTGCCCAGCTGTTAATGACTTTCTTACAACTCCAAACTCTTATCCAACTTCAAGTGTTTTCCTAAGACTTCTCCACATTACTCTAATAGTGATTCCTTCTCCTCTTAGATTTTTTTTTTCTTCACTGCTAGGGATCAAACCATAGGCTTTGCTCATTACAGGAGATACCACTGAATTACACCCCCACCCCCTTTCTCTTTTAAATTCATACAATTTGCTTACACCCTTATCAAAGCACTATGTTTCTGTGTTCTTGAGGTTGGTTTGGGTTGCCATTTAATTTGTTTTATTTAACTTTAGGTGATAATGTTCTATGCCCCAGCTAGCTCACTGAAGACAAGACAAACACAGTACATTCAAAGTTCCCAGAAAAGTGTAGTACACACAACAGGTGATAAGGAAACATTCTTGAAACAAATTGTATGCATAAATGCACAAACATCCCAAGGAAGAATCGGTCTCAGGAAAGTTGCCTGGTACAGCAAGCAAGGGGAAGCATAAAGAAAAGACAGCCTCAGGAACTGGACCATACAAAAGCTGCTTATGTTTAAAAAAAAAAAAATCTTGAAGAGCCCACCAGGACACTCCCTTAGCTTCTATTTTTCTTTTTTTTTGGCAGAATCAGAGTTTGAATTTAGGGCTTCAGCCTTGCTAGGCAGGCACTCTACTACTTGAACCACTCTGCCAACCCTTTTTTATGTCGGGTATTTTTGAGATCAGGTCTTCAGAACTGTTTGCCAGGATGGCTTCAAACCTCAATCCTCCTGATCTCTGCCTCCTGAGTAGCTAGGATTACAGGTGTGAGCCACCAGTGCTCGGCCTTAGCTTCTTTTCTGTTTCTGGATAATAGGGAATTGGGTTCCTTTTTAACCAGGGTCTCTAATTTCGAGTAAGTGCTGTCAGGGTTAAGTACCAACATTATTCATTTCCTTATCCATCATTTAATAATAGATTTTAAAAAACCCTATGCATTCATCAGAACTCAGAAATAATTAGCTTACTTATCACATTGGCTTATATTTCCCTTTGCCATCTAAGGGACAGTTTACAGCATTATCAACTGATGCTGTCAGTGCCAGGGTAAGATATTTGCACAAAGTTATTTTGGGAAATATTCTGTGCCTTTTTCAGAGTATTGCAATGGTCAGGAGACCAGGATGTTGTTTGGGCTGTGCTTGACCTTAAAAACTGTCAAGGACAGATAGATGTAGCCCACAGCTTGTTCTAGAAGATTTTCACTGGTCAGATTGCATTTCCTCTCTGCAGCAGCCTGGCTGACTACCTCCCCCTTCATGAGGCTGCATCTTTATAGGACTGCTGAATCTGAAATTGCACTTTGCGTCATCAGTTGCTGCTTTAGCAATAACACAGCCTTGATTTTTATTACTTCCAGGATACATTCCGTTTTTTAAAAGGATTATGCACCTTTCAACTATTTTGACCAGATGCAGGGAGGTTTTGACTTTGGCAAGTCAACTCAAAAGAAAAAAAAAAAGAACAAAATTCAAAATAAACTAGAGGTTTGGTTTCAAATACATTTCCTGCTAAGGACTTCTCTTCAGTTATGAATAAAATTCAATTATGTGTATTTGTGCCTCATTTTGAGTTTTTTTATCAGAGCCCGATGTTATCGCTGGGCTTTTCTTTCCTCATCAGCTCAGCTATTTTTCCTCTAAAATATGTCTTCTCTATCTCAGAGCCTATTCGGAGGAAAAGCCAACCTTCAGACCAAGGTGGGCCCCTCTTTGGGAGCACTAACAAGATAAAAATAAGAAGCAGGGCAAGGCGATGGTGGCTCACAGCTGTAATCCTAGCTACTCAGGAAGCAGCGATCAGAAGGATCGTGGTTCAAAACCAGCCTGGCCAGTTCCTGGAGTCCCTATCTCGAAAACAACCATCACAAAAAAGGGCTGGTGGAGTGGCTCAGTGTTGACCCTGAGTTCAAACCCCAGTACTGAAAAAGAAAAGCAGATTGTGTGACTGCATTGCAATGTGATTGGAATGAGTAATAGTTTTTCATTCTGTACAGCATCTTTCTCCACCTACCAGACGTGGGACCGGGCCATCTCTACCTCCTGGTGAGGCGATATTACGACACATCCAGATAAATTCATAAAGCACCTTGCAGAGCAGACGTTTTCTACACTGTTTTTCACTTTTCATTGGAGTCATGGGCGGGAACGCATCAGACAAAAGACATCGAAAAAAACAAAACAAAAAGACATCGGCTCTGGAATTTATGAGAAAGATCGTTTCCAGCTAATGGAAGCACAAAGAGAGTGCTATCGTTAAAATACATAATCTCCCGACTAGAAAACACCTACAGAAAAACACACCCGCAGCGCCGAGCCTTACAGCTGCAGCGGCGTGCGGTTTTTGGCGCTTGGCCACGCCCTTTACGTCAGGTTCCCCGAGAGGCGCGCCCCACCCGGGCCGCGGAGACAGGTTTTCACCCCTCCTTCCCTGCAGGAGCGCAGAGGGACAGTTTCTGGGCCTGCGCATTGCGCTGCTGCGCGCCTCCGCGGCCGCCGCCGCCGCCCGCCCCCGCCGCGCGTTCTAAGGTTCTTTCTGCGCATGCGCTCTCGCGCCTCCTCCTCGTCCCCGCGTTCGATTGAGTCAGTCAGTCTGTGGGAGTCTGTCCTCGGAGCAGGCAGAGAAGGCACTTCGGAAAACCAGCTGCCCGATTATTTTGTTTCCCCTCCCTCTCTCCCGCCCCACATCTCTCTTCAGCCCTCTCTCGCCCTTGCTTGCGCAGCCATGGCGGAGTCGTCGGCGGCCACTCAGTCCCCGTCAGTCTCCTCGTCGTCCTCGGGAGTCGAGCCGTCCGCACTCGGCGGCGGCGGGAGCCCGGGAGCCTGCCCCGCCCTGGGAGCGAAGAGCTGTGGCTCCTCCTGTGCGGGTGAGGCGCGCGGGGAGCCCACGACCTGGGGAGGGAAAACGAGCGGGGCCAGGGGCGAGGGAGGGACTGGGGCGAGCGAATTACCCTGGACCGCGCGGGTGGCTTCAGCCCCCGGGGACGGACGTTTGGGAAATGGGCAAAGGGGGAGGGGAAGCGAAAGGTCGTGCGAGCGGTGAGGAAATAACGGGGTGTGAGCCAAACAGGTTGGGGGCGGGGAGGGAGTCTAGAGTGGGTGTTAACGCCGAGACCGGCAGGTGGTGAGAAACAGCCGCTTGAGGGAGGACGAGATGAAACGGAGAATTGCTCGGTGTATGGGGTGGGTCGTGTTCGGGAGGTCGAAGAGCTCTCTGTTGAACCGGGGTGAAGATTTAGTGGAGGATTAGCGAGGTTGAGGGGATTGTGACAGGTGGATCGCGGGTCAAAAAAAAAGATCGTTACGATTTGGAGGGGATGGTGGTGAAAGGGTTGCGTTGCGGGTTTGCAAGCAGGTGTTGACATATTCAGACATGCCTGATAGTCCTCCAAAAATTATTTGTGTTTGCCGGTGGGGGAGGATGAGGAAGTTTAATGGAACCATTGTAGCTTTTTTAAAAACTGTTTTCGGCTGGACGCTGAATGCCGTGTTTTGTGAGGCTCCGAGGTAGTGGGCGTGATAAGAATAGCTCAGGAAGATTTGGGAGGGAGCCGCTGAGGGTCCAAGATGGATCCTTGGCTGCATCTGCAGCACTGCCGGCTTTTCCCTGTCGCAGCGTGGGGGTGGGGACGCGCTGTCAGTCGCTTATATTCTAGAAGATAATAGAGTCATGCCAAGCCATCAATATGTTTTGATTTCATGTTTTCTGTGTGCAGTTATTGATGGCAGTACAACAAAAGAGCGTGTTTACTGCAGAAACGGGGGAGGGGGAGAAAATTCAAACAAAGCAGGGGCTGGTTGAACCCCATTCTCCTTCCATCTCTGAAAGACTAAGAGGGAAACTGCAGGCCTCCTTTAGTTTTTATTGTATACGCGTCTGCCTGCTGGTGGGAGCTGACTGGCAAGCTCGCCTGTGCAGAGATCTGCAGTGCAGATGCCTTCTTCAAAAATATGCACCACGGGCAGGCAGGTGGTTCTCAAAAGGAACTGAGGCTTTGAAGAAAAAAAATGCGTTTGATCAAAAGAAGGATTTTGAGAAGTTTGTAACTGCTTCATTGTCTCCTTTGGCAGATCCTTGGATTGAACATTGTAAAGAACATAATATTCCTGATCTTAGCCTTAAATATATCCTTTATGTGTTTTTCTAACAATGGTGCCCTGTTGGATTTTCCAGCGTGCTTATGGCCATTTGGATAGAAACAGTATCAGAAGACGCTTCCTCAGATAAAGGAATGAGGCAGCAGACTTGGAACCCTCATTCCCTTTAAACCACCGCAGCGTTTCTCCTCCAAATTTTTGCATTCTGGGCTATGGTCCAGATGGACAGCAGCTTCCCTATAATTTAGCAGCTTAGCCCTTTGGATTTAGTCACTTGTTGATGCTTACTGTTTGGTTGGGCTTTTTGTGTGTATCTTTTGCTTATTCTTGAGTTTCAATTTTTGATTCAGACCTAAGTTTTAGGAATTGGCGTTTTTTGCTTTCAATAAGGTGGATGTTAAGTATTGAGGAGTCATTCCAGTTAGCAGGCAGACAATTAAAATTTAGTCCTAACTTTTGTAGCCAAATAATGAAATCATTTGAGAATCAGTTTTTTTGAATTTTTATTTTTGTGGTTTTTTGAGACAGGGTCTTGCCATTTAGCCCAAGCTGGCCTTGAACTCTCCATTCTTCTGCCCCAGCCTCTCAAATGCTGGAATTACAGGTGTGAACACCAGACCCAGCAAGAATCACTATTTTATTCCTTTAATGTGCAGTTTTGAAAGAATTGGCTCCTTTAGTGAGCTAGTGAAATGAGTATTTTGTTCACAACACACATCACTACCCAGTAGACTTTAAATTGACAATATGAATTTAATGTCATAATATATCAAATATTTCTGTTTAGCTTATATTTCTACTACCATTGTCACAATTTTTATTTATTATTGACTTTACCTTGCTTACTTTTTACATCCCTCTTTATGGTAGTGGAAAAGATGCTGAAATCTGGCATTTTGCCTAAAGTAGTAAATTTTATATCCTGAAATGGTATTCCAAGTACATGGGTTTGCATTACACTTTCCTAGCAGTATTAAATGCCTCAATAGGCACGCATTATTTCTCAGTAAATTTTTATTACAGAATTTGTGTTTCTTATATAGTTGTAGAGACTTTGTCACCTTGTTTGTTTGTTTTTGGCGGTACTAGAGTTTGAACTCAGGGCCTCACACTTCTAGGCACTTGAGCCATTCTGCCAGCCCATATTGTCACTGTTGGCACTTAGGGTTTTGTTTTTTTTTTTAAACGGTTCTGAGAATCAAACCCCTTCACACATGCTAGGCAATCACTCTACCACTGAGCCACACCCTGGTTCATTATTGGCCCTTAATCTTTTTTGTTCTCCTTTTTTTTTTGCGGTACTGGGACTTGAACTCAGGTCCTTCACCTTGAGTCACTCTGCCAGCCCTTTTTTGTGTTGGGTATTTTTGAGATAGGGTCTTGAGAACTGTTTGCCCAGGCTGGCTTTGAACCTTGATCCTCCTGATCTCTGCCTCCTGAGTAGCTAAGATTACAGGTGTGAGCCACCAGCACCCAGCTTAAATTTTTTCTTTTGGAGGTACTGGGTAGTTTTTGAACTCAGGGCCTCATGCTTGCTAGGCAGGCACTCTACCACTTGAGCCACTCCATCAGCACTTTTTGTGTTGGGTATTTTCAAGATAGGATCTCAAGAGCTATTTCCCAGGGCTGGCTTTGAACCATGATCCTCCTAATCTCAGCCTCCTGAGTAGCTAGGATGACAGGCATGAGCCACCAACGCCCGGCTCTCTAGTGGCACTTAAAACAGAATCTGATATACCTACAAAAGTACTTGATAAGTTGTAGAGAGATCATTAAATTTATGAACTAGAAAGGAACATCTGAAAAATATTCTAGCTTAGACTTCATCCATTGCAAATGTGCTGATAGGATCTAAAAAAGGATTAATACTATTTTGGTAGGCCCAATGCAAGATTCTCATTTGTTACGTCACTACGTGAATGTAAAAGTTTATGTTAGCCAGGCATGGTGGTACACACCTGTAATCCCAGCACTTGGGAGATTGAGGCAGAGAATCACTATTCTGAGCTACTTAGCAAGACCTTGTCTCAAAAACAAAAAAGATGCTACCAAGAAGTCACCATTTCACTGCAGAAACCCTTCCTATTTGCAGAATGGCATCTCCATCTTACAGAAGAAATGTCTCAGGCTTTGGCACCATGAAAATAAGGTGAAGTTTGTTATTCTAAAATTTAACTCATTTAAAGTGGCTGCTAAAAATTCTACCTTTTTTTTTCTTTACTTTTTTTTTTATTATTCATATGTGCATACAATTCTTGGGTCATTTCTCCCCCCTCCCCCATCCCCTCCCTTACCACCCACAAAATTCTACCTTGATTGTTTAAAAAAAAAAAATACATATGTTGTTTTCAGCCTTCAGCTTCGTGTTCTTTCACTAAGCTCCTCTTGATTTTAGTAAAAGAAGAGCAAGTGAGCAATTTGAAGTCCTGCAGAAAATAATTTTGTCTTGATTGACCTGTCCAATAATGAATTAGAAACACTAGTTTCTACCTACAAGTAGAAAATGGGTGAAGGCACTCTCTAGTCCAGTGCCTAGGTACTACTGCAGCCAGCAGCGTAGTATGTGTAGAGAAGGAGGCCAGTATGGTTTCCTGGATTCTACCTCTGAAGGAAACTGTAGACTTCAAAGGCAGAAACTTGAGGTTGAGGTAAAAATAAACTAAAATATTTAGTGTTCTTTTCAGAATGGAGAGTTGTCCTGATTTGACAGCAAGTCTAGATACATGTCTGTTGTCTGAACTTTAAAAGACTCTTACAAAAATCATGATGCCAAAATAAAGCTACATGCGTTCATGAAATTAGCTTGAAACAAAAATGAGTTGGTCATTTCAAAAGAATTCTTTTTTTTTTTTTTTTTTTTGCAGACTGGGGCTTGAAGTCAAGGCCTACACCTTGAGCCACTCCACCAGCCCTTTTTTGTGAACATTTCCTCAAGATAGGGTCTTGCCACTGGCGCCCAGCTAAAAAGAATTATATTTTGCTTTAAATTTTGTGTGGGTATGTGACGGGTTTGAACTCAGGACTTTATGTTTGCAAAGCAGGCACTCTACCACTTGAGCCACACCTCTAGTCCATTTTGTTCTGGTTTTGGAGATGGGGGTCTCTCAAAGTATTTGCCTAGGCTGGCCTCAAGCCTTGATCCTCCCAATTTCCCAAGTAGCTAGGATTACAGGTGTGATCTACCTATACCCAACTCTTTGCTCTTGAAATGTAGTTATTCTGTGTTCTTTTTATGGCATCATTTTTATACTATGTGACTATATAATTGTATTTTAAATCTTAACCCTTAAACTAGAAGGAATCTGATCACCTGTTCAACATTTACATCATGTGTGTTTTATACTCACATCAGATTGATAGTGGTGGTATGACAGGGTAATAGGCCCAACATGAAGCCCAGAGACTTAAATCAGTCCTGACCTGGTCTTTTTTTTTTTTTTTTTTTTAAAGTAGCACTGGGGTATGAACTCAGGGCCTTATGCTTGCTGGGCAGGCCACTTTTACCACTTGAGCCACTCCACCAGTCCTTTTTTGTGATGGGGTTTTTTTTTTTTTTTTTTCTTTTTTTTTCTTTTCTTTTCAAGATAGGGTCTCAAGAACTTTTTGCCAGGGGCTCACTTTGAACCATTATCCTGATCTTTGCCTTCTGAGGAGTTAGGAGTTCAGGCATGAGCCACCAACGCCTGGCCTGGCCTTGTTTGTTAAGAATTGTATGACCTTGTACAAATCCTGAGCTTTAACTTCCTTAGTGTCAAAATGGTGACAATTG